CAAACTAAAAATGTATAACTTTTTCCCACTGACACATCCTTTCCAATTGAAAGATCTGACCCCCCAACTTTTAGATCTTGAGGATATGAAGCCTATGTGTCAAGGCTCCAGTCTGTGTGTCTGTTTTTGTGTTCTCTCCCTTCCACCTACATTAGGCGCCTGGTTCCGGTCCGCCTCCTCACACACATGCTGACGTTTACCTCGTTAACGTAGTGCTCTTAAGCTGCTGATTGCCAATACCTCGACGCCAGAGTGTTTGCCAGTTTTTGGTACTCTAGCCAAGCTGAGTTTCTACTGAGTAAGACTGAGTTCTTGTTTTAACTTTGTTTTTTGGTTTTGCCTCTCGGCAGGAAGTCATCCTGCAAACTGGACTTTTTTGGACCTCCACTCCTAGGAGGGATCAACTGAGCCTTAAATTGAGTCAGTCTCCTTGAGAGGACGTTGAAATTACTCTCTGAGCAAGGGAATCATCTTCACTACGACCCGTTCAAGTACAGCAGGAAATCTGAGTGGCAATCAGCATCTCCGTTCACCTACACCGTCCGAGTTCTGGGTAAACCCTGTTTGGCCATCCACCGAATCAGACAAACAACACACAGATTGGAGTCAAAGATCCTTCACTTCTCTGGAAACGTGAGTCAACGACCAGATCCTCTTCTTCAAATCAACAAATGAAATTTCCCACTTTTTTCTTTTGGGCCATCCCCCAGTGCACATCGTCCTTGATTGGCCTGAAAATTTCATGGGACTGCCACTATTGTCATTTCTGTCAAATTTCATGTTTCATTTCTAATGTCTGGTTATTTTAGACATGGGCATAGGTTTGCATAGGGACCATAGGGACATGTCCCTACCAACATTTTGGACCCACCTACTTGTCCCTACCAACAGTTAGAAGTGAATAACATGTTTAGAATTTACAATACAGCTTTGTTGCAGCAGTAGAGGGGATGGAGAATATTGACATACGAAAACATTTTTCTTTATATATATATATTTTTTTTTTACAATTTTGTATAATTCCTGCTCTAAGTGGGTCGCTCTGTGAGCTAAAGACATGTTTTAGGGTCTCTATACTCCAGTTAACAATTCATTGATCACTAAATTTGTTGACATTTTAATAATCGATTATTACAATGAATTGTTTCAGAGCAAGATAAAATACATTATATGGGTTAAATAGAGTAACTACAGCCTAGATGACTTGTAGAGTGAAATTAATATTCTAAATGCTCAGTGTCAGTTCCAGTGCTCATGTAAATACAATAAATTTATTTGGTGTCCCTTGAATATATTATTTTGCTTTGTTTCATGATACAGAGAGAATATTTAAAAGATAAGTGTGGGTTTTACCTCTGCACAATTGTATATCTTCAAAAGAAAAAACGGTAAATCTAACTTTAAGAGGCATATTTAGACTATATTTTATTAAATAGGCACAGGTTTACTTTCTGTCTTAGTCGCTGGTAATTTCAAATGCAAACCTTTTCAAAGAGGAAAAAAAGTCATAATTCCTCATTCATCAGAGCCGATGATGCTTCAAACATTGATAAACAGCGTCTAGTGTATGTAGCGCTTATTAAATTTTTAAATTGTAGCAAGAAATGCTGCTTCTTTTTTTTTTTGACTTTATACTAGTAGCTGTTGGGAGCTGGAGAAGTACCACCTTTCTCCAGCAGAGTCCGCCGTGGATCCTCCTGAGTTGAGCCTCCTGCACAGCTGCAGCCCATTCCATCATCAGAGGATCCACGGTACTTAAGCTGTCTTCAGACCTTGCCTTGTTGCCGTGTTGATCCAGTTGGTTAGCACCTAAGCCTAGTATCTCTGTGAACCTTTGTTGACTTTT